TTTGTTTGCTCTCCAGTATATTTAACCCATGGGAATCAAGATGTTCATTCATTTGCTCTCAGTGAATTAATCACCACGTGATCACTGAGCTGCAAAGGGCCTATTCCGGAAAAACAGTCTTCGTCTTATTTGCACGGACGCCATCTAATATTTGAATAAATTAATGAAATAATCAGTTTATATGCCTTTTCCTTTTTAGGACTTTGATTTTCAATCGACTGACATATTTGCCTTCTGGAATTTTCAAGAACAATCGCCTACTCTCGTCATTGTAAATTCTCTATGTTGTTGTTTATTATCGTAGTAGAAATGTCGTCGAAGAAAACATGTTCTTATAGCAAAACAAATTATTTTATATTGTGAAAATTCGATTATATTCTGGGTTCTGACACGTGGTCGGACATGGACAAACATTACCGCCCAAGTAGAAAAGTTTTCGATCTTTTTTTATAATTTTTCCTTCTTGTCCTATGTTTCAGATTTTTGAACCACAATCAACTAAAGTCTTTACCTGACAGGTTATTGGATAACAACAAAAAACTCACGCATTTGTAAGTTGTTTTTTTTTTTTTTTTCCTTAGATAGCAAACATGGTGCACTGTGGTCTGGATTGGGTACAAAATTTTTTTCATCATGCCTCATATGGAGTTTGTTTGTACCCAAGCTAAACCACAGTGCATCATGTTTATCAAACTCAGAATAGGCCTATTCTATCTAAATGCGGATCCAGGTATTTTAGAAGGAGAGTGACTATCACTAAGGTTTTACTAGGAATTTGAGCAAAAGGGGTGTGACTGTAGTAACGATATACTGAAACATTTGAGCGGGGTGACTGTTCACCCCTTTCCCACCCCTGAATCCTCCCCTGTTATCCCATTTCATGCTAATTGTTCTTTAGAAGTTTTAATTTAAAATTCCTTGTTCATGTCTTGTCTTTACCAAATGATTTAAAAACATATATTTATATATTTTCAGAATAGTGCATAGCAATATGCTGACTAAGATGCCCGATAGAATTCTACGCAACATGACGTTGTTGAAGATATTGTAAGTTAACTAAATAAATAATAATTCGATCAATAAAAGGGATTTAGCTGATGCATTTCTACAGGGTAGCTATTAGGGCACTGCTAGAAATTCCAATAGCCCACCACGTCCGAGATATGCTTCGCTTGTCACGCAAGGATTTAATGTGAAGCTTCGTGCATAACGCTCAATGATTCGTTACAAGAGAAAAGACAATGACAATGACAATGACAATGTTTTATTTGCATCACTTTTACAAATTTTGAATTACATTCAACTATTTACCTTGAATATTAGATGAAAACTCGCTATAATAACCTATATGGGCTATACAGGACAGCAAGCTTCCAACTTATGTACAATATAACTAGGCAAGTAGATAGCAAAGCAAGAATAAGGAAAAATAAGCATATATATGTATGATATGTATATTAGTACTAATCTATGTATATTAATTAATTTAATTTAGCACGTATTGTGCGTGACAAGCGAAGCATATCTCAGAAGTGGGATATTGGAATTTAGAAGTTTCATTTTAATGAGGGAGGAAAACCGGAGAACCCCGAGAAATACCCTCGGAGAACGCGAGATGCGCCACATACGCCAAGACCGGTGGAACCAATCTCGTACCCAGAGCCTGCGGCAAAGAACAAGGGCTCTGGCATAATCCATTTTTTGATGCATGCGCAGTTTTCCGGAAGTGAAACGTAATCGATGAAAATCATGTTTTCAAATCTGCTTTGAAACAGAGTTCTGTGTTTTCTTCCGATCAAAATAAGGATTAAAAATCGGGAACATATTTTTATTATTTTCGAACCATTGGTAAGAGGCGAGCGTTCTTACCACTTTTTTTTTCTTTTTAAGAAAAGTTTGCTGATGGTTTTTTTTATGTTGCCTGTTGCCTGTTGCCTGTTGCACGATTGATGTTGCCTGTTGCCTGTTGCCTGTTGCCTGTTGCTCAACAGCTTAAATGCATCATATTCATATGTA